ATATATATAGTGAGATACAGTATATGTATATAGCAAATCTCTTTAATGCCTGACTTAATAGGAGGCAATTGGATTCTCTTATCTGCTTCTACATTCAATTTGTTGTTTTGGTTGAAGTATATTAATAAAAACTGGCCTCATGCAGGTATGTAACTGGACAGGGGAATGTTAGCCTGTTCAGATCATTGTTGATTTTTTCTTTGCTACTATCCTGAACCCCACAAGTGGTAATTTCCTAAAGGTTAGGTGCAATGTGGAATCTAGAACCGTATGATAAACTTTTCTTTTTGTTTGTTGTTTACTTGAGACAGAGTCTCACTCTGTTGCCTGGGCTGGAGTGCAGTGGTGCAATCTTAGCTCACTGTAACTGCTGCCTCCCAGGTTCAAGTGATTCTCCTGCCTCAGCCTCCCAAGTAGCTAGCATTACAGGTGCACACCACCACACTTGACTAGTTTTGTACTTTTAGTAGACATGGGGTTTTACTATGTTGGCCAGGCTGGTCTCAAACTCCTGACCTCAGGTGATTTGCCTGCCTTGGTCTCCCAAAGTGCTGGGGTTACAGACATGAGCCACCACACCTGGCCTATTGAACTTTTCATACTTTGTGTACTCATGAAGAAATAAAAGCAAAAAGGCAAATAATGTCTTTGTGTTATTGTAAAAACAGTTTGACCTTAAACACTCCCTGAAAAGGTCCAGAAATCTCCAGAGGTCCCCAGAGCACACTTTGAGCACCTCTGGTACAAAGTCCGGGGAGTAAGAAATAGCCCAACTAGCTGAAGACCATGAGTCAGCATATCCATGCCTTAATTATCTCAACAATTGTTTCTGAAGCCTGAGAGAGAGAAAAGAGACCAATAATTAACTCCTCCCCATTCTGCTAAGATATAGAGAGAATGGAGATAATATTTCTAAAATGATTCAGACCTCTGGAAGTAAATAGACAAAAACTGTGATCCTAAAATTAAATAGTGGTTTTTCTCCTTGAATGAATCGAAATAAGCGTGCCAGAATGTATAGGTATGGTAGACACTTAAAGTGGCGTGATCAGGTGTAATTTCTCATACTCAAAGCCTTTAAAATTAGCCAATGTATTAATTGTGCTAAAATCATTTAGATTGTCAAATGCAGTGCTAATTTTGTATCTAGAAATAAACTTTTTCCCCTGATTTTTCTATTTAAAAGAACTATTGATGCTTTCAACCAGCACATTAAAAAAAAGAACTTTCTATACACTTACTAAAGGAAATCATATATCTTCTTCTTAAAAAACACTTTTGCCTGGCATCTGAGATCGCAAAGCCTTATCTATTTGCTTGTGAACTACGTACCTGCATGCTTCATCTTTTTATAAACTAAACACTAACCTACATAAGAAATATGTTTTTGCAACATTTATTCTTTGTTTTTCTCTTTTATTAGTGTGCTTTAATGGCACATCTATGTGTTTTTCTAAAGAGTGAGATGATGTTATTTTCACTTGAATATATGCAAGAGTTCTTGTCTCCCTGTAAACTTTCAACTTATTAACTTGCATTACATTTCCCTGACAGTAAGTTGTTACCAAAATACACGTTGACTTTAACACAGCATTTCCCTTGGGATGGAGAGGAAATATTTATTTGTATATATCATTTTGTTAGGGGAAATATTTTACATGTAAACAAATGTATTCCTTATAAGGTTTTTGTTTAAGTTAAACTCTTTTACTAGAAGTAGAATAATCACCATTGATTTCTCTGAATATAGTTCAGATTTTCATTTTAGACCATTAAGAGATCCACCTAAAATTATGTTTTCAGATTCTGATTTCTAATAGGTGTAAGAGTATGGGGCAGGTAGACTAGGGAGTTACAGAAAATGCGCAGGCAGTAAACCTAAAGCATTAGTTCCCCACTCCTGCCTTTTTTTCCTTCGATCAGTCTCATGAGCACCAGAGCTAGAGATAAATCTATTTGAGTTACATATCAAAATATGTCTGATGGTGGTGATATCCTTTTGTTCGCTATCCAATACCCAAGGTTTTTTATAGCATATTTTAAAGATTGACTTGTGTGAAAAATATTTGATGACATTTTAGCATAAATTTTTGTTTTGTTTCTTTGGTCATGCTCTGTCAACCATGTTGGAGTGCAGTGGCAGGATCTCAGCTCACTGCAGCCTCAACCTCCCAGGCTTCAACAATCCTCCTGCCTTAGTCTCCTAAGTTGCACCATCACACCTGACAAATTTTTCGTATTTTTTGTAGAGCTGGAGTCTCCCTGTGTTGCCCAGGCTGGTCTCGACCTCTTGGACTCAAGTGATCCACCCACCTCAGCCTCCCAAAGTACTGGGATTATAGGTTTGAATCACTGTGCCCAGCCCGACATTTTATCATGTCTTATAAAACATTTTCTCTATACATTCCTGCTCAGTTCCAAGTATTAGGAAACAAAGGTTGAAATATTCTGCCTTAGAAAGAAATCAAATATATTTAAAAAATAAAATGACTGCTCCAGAAATAATCCAAGAGGAGAAAAAACAGGAACTGAGAACAAGGTCATTATGGTTTTTGCATTAAAATTTTCTTATAGATTTTGGGTAGTCAAACTCTTATATTTGACCTCAAATAGTTTAAAAAGAAAATAAAACTTTATGGATAGTCAATGTGAACACTGATCTCGAGTATTTTCCAACACCAAATATGTGGTGTATTTTCCAACACCAAATATGTGGTGTATTTTCCAACACCAAATATGTGGTGTATTTTCCAACACCAAATATGTGGTGTATTTTCCAACACCAATTCTCTACCTCTCTGGTTCTCTGACACCAATTGGGTGTCCTACAATTCAATCCTATTCTGGCACTAACTCCCCTGGTTGGTATCAGACTCCACAGATTTAAGGGCTCAGTCTTTTTTTTTTTTTTTTTAAGAGACAGGGTTTCACCATGTTAGTCAGGCAGGTCTTGAACTCCCAATCTCCGATGATCCACCCGCCTCAGCGTCCCAAAGTACTGGGATTACAGGCGTGAGCCACCGCACCCAGCAGGGCTTGGTTTTATAAGACTGACCTCGTTTGGGTTACTAGCCACAGATATTGAGCCCCCAGGTTACCTGTACTTCTGTCTAACTAAGCTACAGATTCAGTGGTTTGCATACCCTCTCTGACTCAGGAATGATATTTGCTACAGCAACTCACAGAAGTCATTGAGATTGTCAAATGCATTGCTCATTTTGTATCTAGAAATAAACTTTTCCCGTGAATTTTCAGGAAGATGCTATATAATATTACAGTTAATAAAAATGAACAGCCAGATGAAGAAGTAGAGAGGGCGAGGTCCATAAGAGGACAGAGCACAAGATTCCCTGTCTCTGCGGAGTTGATACATTCCACCCTCCCAGCACATGGATGTGCTCAGTGACTCAGAAGCTCACCAGTCCCTGTTGGTTAGGGGCTTTGATGGAAGTTCCATTATGTAGGCATAATTGATTAAATCATTGGCCATTGGTGGCTAGACTCATCTCCAGACACTGTCCCTTCCCCAGAGGCTGGGAGGTAGGGCAGAAAGTTCCCACACTTTTATACCGTTGCACCCTCTGACAAGCAGTTCCTATCCTGAAGCTGTCTAGGGCACCCATAAGAGTCACCTCAGTGACATAGACTCAGGTATGGTTGAAAGGAACTGGTTTGAATAACAAAAGATGCTTCTTCTCATTCTTATCACTCAGAAAATTCCATTTTAGGAGGTTGGTGCCAGGAATTGGAGACTAAGACCAAATGTGTTTTTATTTTACTGCTGAGTTTCCTCTAGGTAGTGGAGACAAGGTTTTTTGGAGGTATGGCCAGGAGAGAGAGTTTTCTTTTCATGCCGAACATTCCTGAAACTCTTCCCTAACAACATTCATTGCATCAGTTATCTATTGCTGCCTACCATATTACCCGTAAAACTTAGTGGCATAAAACAGCAAACATCAGCCGGACGCGGTGTCTCTTGCCCGTAATCCCAGCACTTTGGGAGGCCAAGGTGGGTGATCACCTGAGGTCAGAAGTTCAAGAGCAGCCTGGCCAACATGGTGAAACCCCATGTCTACTAAAAATACAAAAATTAGCCAAGCATAGTGGTGGGCACCTGCTATCCCAGCTACTCAGGAGGCTGAGGCAGGAGAATGGCTTGAAGCCAGGAGTTGGAGGTTGTGGTGAGCTGAGATTGCACCACTGCACTCCAGCCTGAGCAACAGAGTGAGACTCTGTCTCAACAACAAAAAGCAAAACAAAGCGACAATAACCAAAAAAACAAACATTAATTATCTTATTGTTTCTGAGGGACAGGAATTCAAGCACAGCATAACTAGGTGCTTCGGGCTCAGTCTCCCATGAGATGGCTGAAGCCGTCAGCCAGGCCTGTGGTCTCATGTGAGGACTCCATAAGGGTGAGGCACTTGCTCCCAAGCTCACACGTGTGGTTGCTGGCAGACCTCAGTCCTCACAACATGTGATCCAAGTTAGAACAAGAAAGGGCCCCCAACATGGAAGCCACAGGCTTTTCACAGCTTAGGTTCAGAAGTGATACACCATCACTTCTGCCATCTGTTCATTAGATGTGAGTCAGTAAATCCAGTCTACACTCAAAGGGAGAGGATTACACAAGGGAATGAACAACAGCGGGTAAGGTTATCAAGGCCCATTTTAGAGGCTACCTACCACATTCACCCAAACGTAATGCGGCTTGTTTTGGTAAGTGGTAAGAAACACTGGACAACAGATTAGAAAGGAAATCGGAAGGACATTTATCTGATTACTTAGTCACATTTACTTTTTAAAGCTTCTCCAAAGTTTTGCTCAAAGTGTCTTCACTGAACAAAACCAGTTTTGATTAATTTTATAGTCAGTGGCTAGATCTCAGCAAGAAAGCTATATACAATCAAGGAAGTGAAATCTCAATAGAAGACAGTGAATTTAGCTTTATTTATTTATTATCAAATCATTAACAATCTCATATGCCCATGTTTTTAAAGGGAGAACCAGGTTTCATTGGTCCTCAAGGAGAACCAGGCTTACCAGGTTTACCGGGAACTAAAGTAAGTGGCTGGCCGGCCTGCCTCCCTCCCTGCCTCCTTCCTTCCTTCCTTCCCTCCCCCATTCTTTCCCTCCCTCTCTCCTTCCCTCCCTTCCTTCCTTTCTCCCTCCCTTCCTTTCTCTTTCTTTCTTTCTTTTTCCTTCTTTCTTTCTCTCTCTCCCCTCCCTTCCTTCCTTCATTCCTTTCTTTGTTCTTTCTCTTATCTCTCTTTCTCTTTTCTTCCCTCCCTCCCTCCCTCCCTCCCTTCCTTCCTTCCTTCCTTCTTTCTGATTTTTTTGTCATATATATTTAGTCCACTATATTGAAAGAAATGTGGGGTAACTCCATAATTTAGGTGACCATATATTTTTGCCCAATAGGAATGAAAGCAGCTTAACTCACTCATTATTAACACTTCTAATGGAACCACCATGTTCAATATTGAGTAGTGAAAAGTGACTTCTAGAAAGCCTCAGGCAAGACAACAGGATGGTACAATACATTACTTGTTCCTCTTGTCCTCCAAATTGCTCCTAAACTAATAGGTTACTGTTAGCCTCCTGGCCATAAGGAAAGGTAGAAGAATTCTGAGGAGTGGAGATAGAACTTATTAACTCCTGCTCCTCGTCACCAATTTCAGGATATACTTGTAAATCAAAGGTTATGCTGCCCATTACTCCCTGGATTTCAAAGGCAAGAACTGATGTCATATAGATTCCTAAGTGCCTCATCCCAAAAGGATCTACCCTGAATAACGTCTGTGAAAATACTCTATAATGAAAACCATCTCATTATCTTCTACTTGGCAGCCCTAGAGAGGGCTCTAAAAGCAAACTCTGTATGCTGCCATATTAAAAAAATATGCTGCTATGAATATAGTCAGACTCAGAGTTCTCTTTTCATCTACCCTGAAAGACATAAAAGTGCAGCTCTGATGGTGGAACTTTACTCATGACAGACTCATGAATCAAAGAAGGGGCAAAATTACATCAAACTACATTCTTTTATTTTTAAACCATAGTGGTCTTTGCCTTAATGTGTATTGCATTCAACAGAAATAAGTCAGGGATGATTTCCAAGAGTTGCAGAAATATGTTCATGGTCTGTTCTGACAGAAGCGTCCTCATTTCTGCTGGTCAAGTGAAAAAAACTCTAAGCCTAGTAAAAGGAAACTATGTATGTCCTGGGGGGACTGAAATGCCATCGGATTATGCAAAATTGTTTTTCTTAAGAAATTTCTTCACATAGTGAGCTGTCAGGCTTATTAACGAAATATGAGGAATGCCTGTTTTAGCCTGAGCAGATTCACACAAGAAATGTCTTTCTGGAATAAAAAGAGAGAGTGAGAGCAAGAAAATAATGAGCATTCCCTGTTAATTTGAGAACTGTTGTATTTATTCAAGTTTGCAGCCTCAGAGCCAGGGGAGGCAAAAAGGCAGCCTCGCAGATGGGCACGATACACAAAGAAGGGAGATCTGGTCAGTGAAGGAGAGAGCCAGGAGTGAACTGGATCTAAAACGTGTGTGGCATTTTGTTTGCGGTACAAGAGAAAATAGAAAAAACACAAGCAAGAGAGAACAGAGTTCATTCCTAAATATCTTTTCTTTAGTTACCTGATTTCAAACTATTCTGCAGTTTCAGAAAAAGATCCAGATGTAGAGCCATAAAATCAACATTAATTACTGTTGTGAAGAACCTAGCATGATTTTATAGACCAGATACTCTCATAACAGATACTATCCTGAACCCCAAACACAAGTAAAGAGTGTACTGTACCTATTTTGTATTTCCACAGAAGGGATATGGATAGGAAATTCATTTTACTAACATTATTTTGAGGTTGTCCGCTGAATTACCTATCTTAACTCAGGCGTTAAAACAGCAGCATGCACGTGCACACATATACACACATCAGTATTATTTGAACATCTAATTTGTGTTGAATCTACATATTTTAAGTATAAATGTCATGGTTGGTTCAGTATCATAATGGGAAAGTCATGATTATTTTAAAAGTCTCTTTCAGCTCAACACAACTCTTCCACTAGTGTAGACAGTCTGGATTTGTACCACTAAATTCGGATTTATAAAGTAACAAATGGACTATGTTTCTTATTCCCAACACAGTGACAAGAACTCATAATGAAGAAAGATATGTAATGGCATTAAAAAATGCTGCATCTTTTGTACCTACATTAGTACTTGAGGGGGACCTGTATCAGTCTAAGGAAATGGGGGTGCTGGGCATGGTATTTCATGCCTGTAATCCCAGCCCTTTGGGAGGCTGAGACAGGCGAATTGCTTGAGCCCAGAAGTTTGAGACCAGCCTGGGAAACATAGCAATACTCCATCTCTACCAAAAATACAAACATTAGCTGGGCATGGTGGCACATGCCTGTAGTCCCAGCTATTTAGGAGGCTGAGGTGGAAGGATCACCTGAGCTTGGGAGGCAAAGGTTGCAGTGAACAGAGATCACACCACTGCACTCCAGCCTGAGTGACAGAGTAAGACCCTATCTCGCCAGATATAGTATGCACCAAAAGTAAAGTAAATTTTTTTAAAAAAGACCCTAACTCAATAAAAAAAAAAAAGAAAAGAAATGGGGCTATAATCAGATATTTTAGAATACTTTCACTAATACTGTTTATTCATTAATTCGCCAATTTTTTTTTTTTTTTTTTTTTTTTTTTTTTTTTTTTGAGACGGAGTTTCGCTCTTGTTACCCAGGCTGGAGTGCAATGGCATGATCTCGGCTCACCGCAACCTCTGCCTCCTGGGTTCAGGCAATTCTCCTGCCTCAGCCTCACAAGTAGCTGGGATTACAGTCACGCGCCACCATGCCCAGCTAACTTTTTGTATTTTTAGTAGAGACGGGGTTTCACCATGTTGACCAGGTTGGTCTCGATCTCTCGACCTTGTGATCCACCCGCCTCGGCCTCCCAAAGTGCTGGGATTACAGGCTTGAGCCACCGTGCCCAGCTACACCAATGTTTTTACCAAGTATTTTTCTGTATTTGAGCATGGGAAGTAAATGCAACAGCAACAGTGTCTATTTTCCTGAAGCTTGCATTCCAGTGTGAATGAGGAAGAGATGGAAGGAGGGAAAGAAGTAAACAAATAATATAATTTCAGAGAGTGGCAGGGAACTAATTAGGGACATTGTAACAAAAAGTGATTCTAGCTGGGTGTGGTGTGCACACCTGTCATCCTTCCTACTCAGGAGGCTGAGGCTGGAGGACTACTTGAGCCCAGGAGTTTGACGCTATGGTGTGCTATGACAGTGCCTGTGAATAGCCACTGTACTCCATCCTGGGCAACATGGCAAGATCCCCTCTCTAAAAATATATAAATGTTAAAAGTAAAGACGTATAGACTTCGCTCCTGTGCAAACTACAGACAAATGATTTTTAAGGGTTTTTATTTTTCATAGTGGACTGCTTCATAATTATTCTGTAATTCTTAAATTATTGAAAGAAACACCAAATAACTTAGTTTTTTAATAACTTTCATATGCCAATAGAAGCTTCTTAGTCTCACTCAACAGGGTGATGGGAAGGAGGATGAAAAAAAGCAAAAAGCAGAAAGCCCTTCTGTTTCTGGGCCATTGTGTCTATCTCCTGTATCTAGAGAAGTCCCTCATCTTTCTCCCAACCTCTTTATTTTCACAACCTCTTAAGTTGCTGTTGAGAAACCTACTGAGTCTTTCTTAACTCTTGCCTCCTGCCTTTCTTAACCCTTGGCTAACCTATCCCACCTCCCCTGCAAAACCACAAAGGCTTCCTCAAGTGGGCATGATACAGATAAAGATCTTGAAATGTAAAGCCCTGCATGACCCACCACAGATTCATTTCTATTTTCTTATCCTTTCCCAAATGAAGTGGCTCCAGTGAGGAGAGCACCTCTTTTATCCATAAATATGCCATCAACAGTCTGAATTCTAAATGTTTGACTCTTGAAATTCTACCCCTTATGCAAGAAGCCAGACACTCTTTACTCTGTGTTTAGGGAGTATAAAAAGGTACCATCTTCCTGGAGGGCAATTTCACAAGTTTTAAAAAAATATTCATACTTTTTGACCTAGCAATTTTCCAGCTAGGAATTTATCCTGAGAGAATGATCAAAGATGTGCAAAAGATTTACATTTTAAAACATTTATGCACAAGTTGAAGATCAAGTACAATCAGTTTTACCCACTTTAAAAGCTTTGTGACTTTGAGCAAGTTACTTCACCTCTCCAAACTTTGGCTTCCTCATCTGTAGACTATGGATAATAAGACTTTTCTCTTTTGTCCTGAGGATTAAATAGGATCATGCGTATAAAGAGTTTTGTGCCATTCCTGCACTCATCCATGCTACAGTCATCAACAGCAATAATTATAAAACAGACCCTACTCATGCTTTAGGACATGACTCAAGTCTCATCTCCAGGGATCCAGCCCACAGTAGAAACCAGTGGGGATTCCCCTTCTGTCACATATGGCTTTACATGACTCCTTAATCCTTAACCATTTGGGTTTTGGGGTTCCTGTCTGCCTAACTATATCACTAGCTCCTTGAGGACAGTAGCCGTATTTATACTTCACAAAGAGGTGAACATATTAAAAAACTGTAAAACCCGTGTGACTAGCACCATTCTGAACACTTTTACATTCTAACTTATGAGATGAGTACTATAACTTTATCCATTTTACAGAGGAAACTGAGGTGTACGGAACCTAACTAACTTGCCTTAGAACACAGAATTGGTAAATGGCAGAGCCAGGAGTAAAACCTAAGATGCTGGATTACAGAGCCCGGAACTTAACCACTTTGCCATGCTTCTTGCCAATAGTGCTTAAAAAGTGGCTGCAGAATGAAAATGGATATCCCTTCCTATCTTGACGTATAATAATGGTCCTTATCAATTCCCTTTAAAGGTCTTTCTGTTTACCAACATAGCTATTTGACAGGCATTTACCAAACTATTTCCTTACCCATAAAATGGGGATGATAATACAAACCTTGAATAATTGCATATTAGTCAAGGTTCTCCAGAGAGACAGAGCCGATAGGATATTTATATAGGGAAATAGCTAGATGAGAGGGAATTTATTAGGGGAATTGGCTTACGCAATTATGGAGGCTGAGAGTCCCACAACAGGCTATCTGCAAGCTGGAGGAGATCCTGAGTTGATGGTAGCATGACTCAGTCCAAGTCTGAACACCTCATGTCCAGGGAGGCAGACAGTGTAACTTTTAGTCTGGGGCTGAAGGCGTGAGACCCTGGGGGCCACTGGTGCAAGTCCCAAAATCCAAAGGCCAGAGAACCTGGTGTTCTGATGTCCAAAGACAGGAGGTGAAGGGCTCTCAGCTCCAGAAGAGTTTGCCTTTCCTATTCCATCTGGGCCCCCAGCAGATTTGATGGCGCCCCCTCACATTGAAAGCAGATCTTCCTTACCGAGTCAACAGAGTCAACTGCCAGTGTTCTCCACTAACACTTTCACAGACACACCCAGAAGCAATGCTTTATTATCCTTCTGGGTGTCCCTTAATTCAGTCAACTTGACACCTAAAATTAACCCCATCATGAATTGTTTTTATTATAAAATGAGATGATAATTCATGGTAAGAGGTTAATACAGTGCTTGGTACAGGGTAAATCAGTGAAAACATTCTGCTTTCTTGTTTCATTCAACTCACTTGTTAATCTACAGGGACCAGCCTGTGTGGGGGGAATGGCCATTGACGTGTTTTGCAATTTGTGACAGGGTGAACGGGGAGAAGCAGGGCCTCCTGGAAGAGGTGAGCGAGGGGAACCTGGAGCCCCCGGACCAAAGGTCAGTGATTCTTACACTCGAAAATAACCATTCTCTTGTGTGATTTGATTTAGAACACAAAAAGCTAAAACAACCAGGCACATGGGCTCACACCTGTAATCCCAGCACTTTGGGAAGCCAAGGCAGGTGGATCACCTTAGATCAGGAGTTTGAGACCAGCCTGACCAACATGGAGAAACCACATCTCTACTAAAAACACAAAATTAGCCAGGCATGGTGGCACATGCCTGTAATCCTAGCTACTCAGGAGGCTAAGGCAGGAGAATTGTGAACCTGGGAAGCAGAGGTTGCAGTGAGCCAAGATCATGCCATTGTACTTCAGCCTGGGCAACAAGAATGAAACTGTCTCAAAAAAAAAAAAAAGGGACTGGCACATTAGAGTAACAACATGGAAGCCAGTATGGCTGGAAAATTGAGTGAGGGCCAGAGGGTTAGTAATGAGGTCACAGCGATAAGCAGGCCTGACTATCCACTGCCCTGTAAGCCATGGTAGTCTTGGGATTGTCTTCCAAGCAAAGAGAAACCATGGAGAGCAAGTTGAACCTGAGTCCAATTCTAGCTTAGCCACTTTGCAGCTATGTGACCAAAGCAAATTACTAGCTCCTCTTAGATGCTAAAATCCGAACGTATAGAAGGGTACTTAATAAATAATAGTCATTTACATTAATCAGTAATTATGAGTATTGTTAATGCTATAATATATAAAGTTAATAAAAATTTTTATATTCAAACATGAACAGCTCAAATCACAAATAGTTTGTTAAAATGCACACCAATTGGTTCTTTTCAAAAGAGCTTTTACAATTCATCTCACCCTGTTTACCCTGTTTGTTCAGTGAGCAAATTGATAGCCTATCCAAATGTAGAAGTGCTGTTATATTCACACATTATCACTCAATGTGTATTAAAACTTAGGAAAAAAAATCTCTGTTGATAAGTGCTGTATTAGTTTCTATGGCGATTTGATAGAGTGTAACACCTTGAAAATATTAGAGGTAAGGATTTATTTGACTGCTCAGTGTTACTCATTTAAACTTCCTGCAAACTAACGTGGTCACACTTTATTTTAATAGCCCATCCTGAAGACACAGGAAATGATTTACTCTCTGATGAAAAGGAAATTGATGCAGGCAAACACTGTTGAGACTATTGAGAATTATTCACAGAACTCTTCTCATCCACTGATGGGAGGGCAGCCCTCAGAATAATAATGGAATGAACTGATGAGATAGTGGTGATACTTATGTTTAGTATTATAATAAACAACATTCTGTGGAGCCATATATTGAGGCAGTTAAAATAAAGTGTTTCCATTTTTCTTCATTATTCTGAGTCACTGCTAATTTCTTTTTTTCTGTTCTTATCTCCTCTATCATTTTATATTTTTCACCCTCTTATTCTCGTATAATAGGGGAAACAAGGTGAATCAGGAACTAGAGGCCCAAAGGGGTCAAAGGTCAGTAACCAGATAACCATTTAAATATAACATGAGGCCTTCAAGATCTGTGCTTTTTGCATTTGCCACAGAGGCGTGTTTTTCATGTTTTTAAATAAACTCTTTCATACAGTGGGACTGCAATAATTATTGCAAAAGGGATTGCAGTATCTCTGTGATGATATTTCAAAACAATGGGTTTGTTTCATCTTGCTTGTTTTTGCATAGTCTTCTGCTTCAGAAAATTCTTTAAGAGAAGTTGTATTTCCTATTTCATAGAAATAGCTTCTTAGAAAAAAATTAAGAACTTTCCTTAAATTATGTATTGTATAATCTTATTATTTCCCAGCTATCTTTGTGATAAATGCTCAAATTATGCTCTGCTTTTTAGTTGACTCCCTTTGTTGCATTAAAATTTTACTGCCAATTGAAATTCTCTTCTATATCATACTCTTTATACTATGTGCAATAACATATATACTGTCAGCAGAATCATGTTATTTAAAATGCTATTAGCTATTATCATGGAAAAAATGTGTGCAAAATGAAGAAAACAGAGAGCAAAGATTTTTAATGCTTCATTCATAGCAAATTTATTATGATCAATGTTATTAGCATAATGTGGATGGGAAAAATTATAATCCTTTTTCCTGCTTATCTTCATTCATCCTTACCCGGTTTATAGGAATCTGTAGAAAGATGTATAAAAATGCTTTGAAGTTTATACCAAAAAAGGACCCTATAAACTTAAGGTGGTTTTAAAGAACCTTTAAATCTATACAGGTTCAAATCTCTCCTCCAAAGTTTCAGTTTACATTTCTAAGAATTCTGTGGGCTTAGAGAATTCCTGCTGTCTCTACAGTTGAGGTAATGCCACCGTCAATGAAACTTCAGATAAATTTCGTATTGCACTGGAAAAAAAAAGAGAGAGAGCTGAGTTTGCCCTGCCCTTGACCTTCAGCCCTGCCAACCTGTTCCAGCTGGCTGCTGTCCACTTCGGCACAGTCTGAAAGTTAAAATGCCTATACCTACAGACGAACTTTCCCCTAGATCCCCAGCATCAGAGGGATGACTAGCCTGTGACCTTCCTTTCCTTATTCTCCCTAGAATGAGCTGTCTACTCTTTTCCTGTCCCAATTATCTATACTTTCTTCTCAGAGGACAGACAACACAATTGCTGGCTCTTTTTCCCTTTGCCCTAAATCTCTTCATGTAAAAGGAAGAATGTGGCTCAATCTGCAAGGTAGAAGCTTACTTTGGGTGCTATAGAAACCATTGTTTTGCTTTTGCAGATCCTACCTCGTGGGACAGTTACCATATATATTGTTATTTCAAGATACCGTATTGCCTGAAAAGGGAGTCTTTTTTAAAAAAGGAATTTTAATTCTTTTCAAGCTGCATCTTTAAAAAGCATTTGCCATTTTGGTGGTGGCTGCTATTGTTTTTCACTTCAGAAATTCATATTAAAGATGCTGCTGTATGGTATAAATACATTCTCAGATGAGAGATTTCTAGACTTCCCCACTTCTAATCAAGTTTTTTCTCTTTCCAACGGGAAAAGGGGGATCGTGGAGACAAAGGGGACACTGGAGCTCAGGGACCAAGGGTGAGTGTTCTTCTCGTCCATCTAAACTTTTGCTCCCTACAAGCCCAGATTTGAATTTGTGCCTGCCTGTCTATTCTTATGACATCTGTATTAATCATATTAAATAATAGTATTAAAGGTAGATTACTGTCATTATGCCTGAAACACCCCTACCTCCTTTATTTTTCTCACTAGGATCAGTGAGTGTAGGGATTCCAAAACATAAAATAAGCTTATTTTAATAGGTCTGAAGAACTCTCCCTGTCTCCTTTCCCTCTGTTAAATGAGCCCATACCCATCTAGCTAATGGAATTTTCCACTTTTCGATTAACTCAATTATAAAGAAAGCAATAACACTTATATTCACAGCCTTTTTTTTTTTAAAAAAAAGGGAATTAGGACATGACTAATGGAAATTAAGTAGCAGATCTAATAAGTAGGGTAGCAGTCTTAAAAATATACATGTATTATATTGTTTGTTCCCTATTTGGTTTACATTTTGTGGCATTCATTCCTGATGGGAAAGCCAAGCATTTTTCTACAGAACAATGTTCTATCTTTTTAAAGAATGAGGGCTGGGCATAGTGGCTCAGACCTATAATCCTAGTAGTTTGGAAGGCTGAGGCGAGTGGATCACCTGAGATCAGGAGTTCGAGACCAGTCTGGCCAACATGGTGAAACCCCATCTCTACTAAAGATATAAAAATGAGCTGGGCATAGTGGTGCGTGCCTGTAATCCCAGCTACTGGGGAGGCTGAGGCAGGAGAATTGCTTGAATCCAGCAGGCGGAGGCTGCAGTGAGTTGAGATTGTGCCACTGTACTCTAGCCTGGGTGACAGAGTGAGACTCTGCCTCAAAAAAAAAAAAAAAAAAAAAAAGAATGAGGAAGCAATGTATGAGGTATAGATGAGAAACAAAAGGTTAGAGGATGCTTTAATAAATATGAATAAAGCCAATAAAATTTTACAGGTCATGTCAGATTAGCCTATATTGTGATTTTCAGAAAATAGTTTCAAAAATTAAATTGTGTATATTTTAAAAATCAGATTTCTTATCTTGACCCTACCACAGACAGGATGTAAGAAATGGTTTGTCTCCTTTGAAATAAGGATAAATTTTGAATATAATTATTTATATATTAAAAAGTACAGTTGGGCCTTAGTGGGGAAATGATGGTCGGAGAGAGCTGTGAGTTGATATTTCTGTTTCTGCGACAGTCCACCCTATGTGCTAAGCTAACACCCATGATGTTCCCCTGGCTGGTTTTTGTCACAGGGTCCACCTGGTCAAAAAGGAGATCAAGGAGCCACTGAGATCATAGACTACAACGGCAACCTCCATGAAGCCTTACAGGCAAGTGGCTGCTCCCTGCCCTAACACACTGAGAAGGATGCTGAAGACATCCATGTAATGTGTGCAGATATGAGTTTCCATACCCTCTAACCTCAGAGGAGTCCCCTGCTCAAGGCACCCCTTCTTTCTGTTCTCAAGAACCCATCTCCTTCTTTCTGCCCCAGTTTATCTTCTGAATTTTATAGCATTTTTCAATCCCTTCTTTCCTTTCCCTTCCACCATCAAATATAGTTAAGCCTTATGAGGGATAAACCTTGCGTGTGTGGCCAAAGTTTGCCTCCTTGCTTGCAGAGGGAGCTCGGCAAGGCAATCAAGATCTCTGTGCCTCTGGGGCTGGAGCTGACTGCATTCCAATCTCAGCTCTCTTGCTTACTAAATGTGTGACCTAGGGCAAGTTATTTCACTTCTCTGTGCCTCAGTTTTCCCATCTACAGAATGAAAGTGGAAGTAGTATCTGCGTCATAGGATTGTTGAGAAGAGCAAATGGCACAATATATACTATACTCTTAGAGCAGTGCCTGGCATATAGTAAGCCCTCTGTAAGTATTTCTTATTATTGTTACCATATAATTCTTTTCTTCTCATTAAGTAAGCAATAGACTATCTGGCTTGTCTCTATCACCTTTGCTTCCTATTAATTCTTTTCATGTGTAGACTCCTACATTCTAGCCTGTACCATCATTCTGTTGCAACTTCTCTTACAGAGGTCAATGATAACCTATATGTCAACTCCACTAGACCCATCGCCCTTGACTTTTTTGTGATATTTATATCAAACCACTTTCCTTTTGAAACTTTTTTCGGGTCTCTCTGACCTTCTACTTTCATTTCATTTTTTTTTTTTAATTTTTCTTCTTTGGCATATCACCTTTATTTTTGTGTTTCTGGTTTCTCTGTCCATTCCCTAGGTTTTGGTATCCTCAAGTCTCTGATCTTTTCTTGGTACAGTCACTCCCTCTGGGTTCTTCCACATTGTGGCTCTCAATTCTTTCATCTCCAGATATAATCTGTATATACCCCCAGATGTCCAAGAATATTCCCATTATGGATGTATCAATGCCCTATCAACTTCCATCAATTCACACAATTATACTGGTTACCTTTCCTACCTAATGAGTCCCTTTTTCAAGTAACTAGTTTCTGTTAGTGATACTGTGAATCTGAATTTTGGGGGATAGAAACTTTAGGGCCATTTTTAAGCTATTCTTAGTCCTTCACTTATTCTTTCTCACCAGGGGGCTGCTATTTTCTTTTTCAAAGTATCTCTTGAGATTGCCTGTTCTTTCCATTCCCGACTGAGTCCGCATCGTGTTTACTTCATGCCTAATACAGCAGCAGCTCCCTGACCAATGACTCTTTCCCTAGTGCCTCCTTGTCCTTCTCGTTCATCTTGTGTGTCACTCCAAGATTAATTTTTATAAATGATCATGGCTCCGATAGCTCTGATTTGCTCAGAAACTGTAATGACCCCCTGTTGCTTACTCTATCAATCCCAAGCTTCTCCATCTTAAGCCTCTCTAGTCATGCCCTTCCTGTGTAGGACTCTTCATTTCTCCACGGCACAGTTTCTCCTGGCATAATCATTTTTATCGTATCCATACAAATCTCCTTCTTTTTGCCTGGGTTCATCCCCTTCTTCTTTCCTTTCTTTCCCATGTAAATTCTACACAACAATTCACTGCTGCTGCCCAGGTGAGTTCTTCCTCTTACTCTTTTTAAACATTAGTAGAGAAGGTCCAGTGGTTTACCATTTAAAATCAAACTCCATAGTTGATTTTTAGTCTTAGCTCTTACCAAATTGTAAGCTTGGTGACAGGAAAACATTTTATGCTTATATTGTCTAGGTACATAAATACTAAGTAAACAGTTACCAGTTGAATAAGTATACTTAATTCATATTTACAAGCCATTTCTTTGCTTGTAAGCCAGATTCATTGTTTGAAATATTTCTCTGCCACTTTGTACCTGTCTGAATTATTTTTCCATCTTTATGATTTTACTAACACAATCTAATTATGACAGATCTCTACTTCTATAGGTTCTTTGCTACAACTATCATTTTTAACTAGCAAAGTACTAAGTCATTTTTTAAAAATCTATCTTCAGCTCAGTCTATTTTTTGGCCTTTTCATTATTTTTCTTCTGGTAAAATGCAAAGAGAAGCATGTTTACTGCTTGGAGAAATGTTGCTTGGACAGTATCTGTAGTCAAGAGCTTAAATTAGTGTTCCTCTGTGTAACTGGATTAGATACAAGCAGTAGCTTCTGGGTTATGGTCAAGTTCTAGAACTAGTTTTCTAAATTGTTCCCTTTTCCCCACAAGTTGATAACTATGTAAGGAAGAAAATGGAGACAGAGACAGAGAACACAAAGTTTTGGTGTGCCTACTATGTTTTCAAAGTTCTTACAAAATATAGGAAGTTTTTAAAAACTTTATTTATTAGCAATGTTGTAAATTGCCCTTCAGCTACTTCCAATGGCCCCATAATTCCTGCTACCACCTTTAAGAGGTAGCTACTTTCTTATTATCCAAGAACTGCTCCAATATAATTGGCATTTTCTGCAACACTGTGATTAAGTTCTCAAAACGTGCTTTACATGAGCTGGGTCTGGCATGAGGCGAGCTACCCTTAGTCTAAAATGCAAATCTCTATTTCCATCTCTCCTCTATTAGCTGAGTCATTTTTGGGGAAATCACTTAATTTGTCTATGGTATAGATACATTGATCTGCAAAATGAGGATGTTATTGGAATATTTTTTTTCTTTGAGTCCATGAAACCTCATACTATTTTTAGGGTGATTTTTCAGAGCTTCTGAATACCTTTTACTGATATGCCTAAAAGCACTGTACTTTTTAAAAACATATGACACCTATATCTTGATATGAAAAGATATATTTTTTTCTCATCTTTAGTTCTGTATGACTACAAAGCAGTCAATATCCATCTTAGTCAACTAGTTCATGCTTATGTCTCAACTTAAAGGTTTATTTTTCTCAAGGGGTTGGTTGTTATTCAACTAAATGCCATGCTTATAAATAGCTTATAGTTATTTTTTGTTTTACATCAGAACTACTGGTTTTCCTAACATAGTGCTCTAGTGAATTGAGTTCCGAATAAAATTAGTTACATTAGATTGAGAAGAGATGGTAGACATTTATTCTTCTACTTCTCTAACCAGTGATGGATATTTACAGTTTTGCAGGTTTTATGTCATTATTACTCCTTTTAAAACAATCTACCAAAAATATTCTAGGATGATCAGAAAAATAGAAGCATATTACAGTTATAATCATACCACATTAGAAATATAAATTTATATTGTTGCCTCTATTGAACATTGTTATTTACATAAACACTGCCATAAGCTATTTATTTTTATTTAAGATGGTTAAGTTTCCACAAATTAGTAGTAAAACCTCTGTTTCCTATTTGACTCTTTAAAAAAATTCTCGTTACCATCTAAACCAAACCTGTTCTCTAGTATGAATCATGGGTGAGTTTAAGCTTTCATCATTATTGGAAATGAGAGAAAATAACCTTTAATTCTAAAGAGACTGAGATAAACATTTCAGGGAATAAATCACAAAGCAGGCTGCTGGGATTACCCAATTTGCAGTTTCTATAGTTCATGCCTCCCATTTCACATCATGTCTCACCAGAGAATGGCATGTCTTTTTCCATCACTACCAAAAATTCTGATTTTCAAATCATTACTTGAGTTCAAGAGAGAATCCTGCTGAGTTTATAAAGCTTTAACTTGGATTTGCCACATATTAGAAATGCACAGCGAGCCAACATCGTTAGGACTTCTCTGTGTGTCTGCATACTGGTGCTTCCAGATGGTGGTCAAGACTATGTATTTGTGAAGTTTGCTCAGCTTGTCATTTGTTTTCCTATTAGCTGGATTGAACACTATACAATTTTTAAAGTTTTACAAGTATACTTATTTAACAAAATCATTTAAACTCCATCTGTTAGGTCAGTTACCGTTAATAATATTCTTTTATTTTGCGGCTCATTATTAAACATGTTGTTATCCTTAATTAAAAAAAAATAAAACTAGCATTATGTTCAGGTGAAAAATGAATTCATATATGGCACATGTTGGAAAATCTCAGAAACCTCAAATCTGAAGCTCTCTTTCCTTTTTAGGGCTTTATGATCCTGTTTTCTAGTTAAAAAGTAACACGTAATTGGAAGACAATGATAAAGATATTATTTTTACTCTGTAAATTTCTAATAGCCTTGTTTAAATGACTTATCTACACTATAGGAACAAAAAAAAAAAAAGTAGCTTTCTCGTAACTAGAAATCCAATTCTTGTTCTAGGTGAATCTCTGAAGAATAAAGTAAATAGTATTATATTCCACAGATATGGTGGTGTAAAATTCTGGGACCTTATTATTTTCGTATATCCTTGCCCCCAGTTTGCGGACATTTTTCCTTTTACAACAATAAAAAAAAAAAAAAAAAAAAAAAAAAACAGTTACAACAGCTCAAATCAGAGATTGGAATGGAGTAGTGGAAAACAGAAGGATGGTGTTCAACTGATATCCACAAGTTTGAATGTAATTGAATAATATTTCTCTATGTCTAGATTCCGTAAAAAAAAAAATGTTCTCCCCTCTGTGATTTCATAAAGTGATTATCAACCCCATAGAACTTTCAGCACAGAACCTAGACCAGAAAATGTTAATTCAAAAATATGATTTATGGATTAGGAATTATGTTTCAGAGATTCAGACTTTAAGACAGTGTGCTTTGTTACTGAAATGAGATTAATTATTTGAGTATTTACCCAGTAATGGGATTGGTAGGTCAAATGATATTTCTACTTCTAGATGCTTAAGGAATCAAAGGAATCACCACACTGTCTTCCACAATGGTTGAACTAATTTACACTCCCACCAACACTGTAAAAGCATTCCTATTTCTCCACATCCTCTCCAGCATCTGTTGCTTCTTGACTTTTTAATGATCACCATTCTATCTGGTGTGAGATGGTATCTCATTGTGGTTTTGATTTGTATTTCTCTAATGACCAGCGATGATGAACTTTTTTTCATGTTTGCTGGCTGCATAAATCTCTTCTTTTGAAAAGTGTTCATATCTTTCACCCACTTTTTAATGGGTTTTTTTTTCTTGTAAATTTATTTAAATCCCTTGTAGATTTTGGATATTAGCCCTTTGTCAGATGGATAGATTGCATAAATTTTCTCCCATTCTGTAGGTTGCTTGTTGACTCTAATGATAGTTTCTTTTGCTGTACAGAAGCTCTTTAGTTTAATTAGATCCTATTTGCCAATTTTGACTTTTGTTGCAATTACTTTTGGTGTTTTAGTCATGAAGTCTTTGCCCATGCAAAGACTATGTCCTGAATGGTATTACCTAGGCTTTCTTCTAGGGTTTTTATGGTTTTAGATCTTGCATTTTAAGTCTTTAATCCATTTTGAGTTAATTTTTGTATAAGGTGTAAGAAAGGGGTCCAATTTTAGTTTTCTGCATTTGACTGGCCAGTTTTCCCAACACCATTTATTAAATAGGGAATCCTTTCTCTATTGCTTGTTTTGTCAGGTTTATCAAAGACCAGATGGTTGTAGATGTGTGGTGGTATTTCTCAGGCCTCTGTTCTGTTCCATTGGTCTTTAAAACTGTTTTGGTACCAGTCTACTACAAAGACACATGCACACATATTTTATTGCAGCACTATTCACAATAGCAAAGACTTGGAACCAACCCAAATGCCCATCAATGATAGACTGGGTAAAGAAAATATGACACATATAAACCATGGAATACTATGCAGCCACAAAAAAGAATGAGTTCATATCCTTTGCAGGGACATGGATGAAGCTGGAAACCATCATTCTCAGCAAACTAACACAGGGAACGGAACACCAAACATGGCATCTCAGTCATAAGTGAGAGTTGAACAATGAGCACATATGGGCACAGGGAGGGGAACATCATGCACTGGGGCATGTCGGGGGTAGGGGAGAATGGTAGGGATAGCATTAGGAGAAATACCTAATGTAGTTATTAGGTTGATGGGTGAGTAAACCACCATGGCACATGTATACCTATATAACAAATCTGCCATTCTGCACTTGTATCCCAGAATTTAAGTATAATAAATAAATAAAAAGAAAAAAAAACTCATTTGTTTTTCTGATTAAATTCACAAAAAATATTGGAATGCAAAAAAAAAGAAATTAGATTAATTCTATGTCAACTAATATCTTTAGTCATGGCACACACACACATACAAAGTTAATTTTAATGCAACAAATGAGCTGCGGATTAAAAGAGAAAAAATATGCAGTTGTGTCTTTCAGTTTTCTCTAATGAAGTGCTATCTAGAATAGAGCTTTCATCAATAGCAAAATTTCTCAGTTCACAATTATACTGACAAACCCATAGCATCTACAACTTTACTGCATTATTTTTTCAATCAGGTGAATTAAAACTTTGACATTTCTTTTTCTTCAGCCATAGACTTTCAAAATAGGATTCTAGATATAATTTTTTAAACATCTCTACAACTATACTGTATTGAAGATAGGATAATATATCCTCAGTATCTTGTCAGATACTTATAAGATAACAGACTAGCCAAAACATATTCAAAAAGTTGATTATTTCACAAATAAGTTACTTTACTGTGGCACACAAAATAGATAACTCTGTCTTTATCAATACATTTTCCCAACAGAGGATTACCACCTTAACTGTCACGGTAACTCCTATTGCATGCTTTCTGTGGTGTGTGGTTTTGTATTTGGTATTGATGCATGCCAGCCAAAATGGTACTAATGTAGCCATTGTTTTCATCTGATACTTAATTTCATGTTTTCTTTTATTAATAACCTTTTACATTTGCTCCAGTTGAACCATTTTGTCTGCTTAGTGAAAAAGTCAAGAAAAAAGTGACTGTTGATTTTCTTAAAAATCTCTGGCCTTACCTGAACAATAATTTGGGAAATCACAGCCTTTGGGGTCGGGGGGTAAGGAGTGTATATAGAAACGAAGCTAATATTTATTGGCTAATTCATCCCAAGACGATGAATGTGGAGCATGGTAGCAATTTTACATTGCCTTACCAAATCTATCCAAAAGCACCTTCCATATTATTTTGACCTAAAGTATGTTAATATTTTAGTATATAAATAGGTGTTTTTTTCTAATTATTTAACCAGTGAAATTTTTCCTCATTGCAAATTTATGATTGGGGTTATCCGATTACCATAGAAATAAGGGAGGTGTATAGTGTGCCTATTACTTAAGGCATGAATTTTAATACATATAATTACCACTTTTAAAAACTGTGCTTTTTCTTGATTTAGGGTCCCCCTGGACCTCCTGGACCTCAAGGACTGCAAGGGCCAAAGGTTATTCTTTATTTACTTGTTTCCATTTATCACATACAGTGCAGAGAATGCTACATTAAGTATATGCATCTTTGAAAATCAGTCTTACAAAATGCTGGAGAAGCTGAGATTGTTTTAATATTTTTTTTGAGAGTAAAGAAAAGAAATTGAGGTCTGGACTGAAGGAAGATAAAAAAATTAGAAGAAAGGAAAGTAGGAAAAGAAGAGAGATAAATTTAATTTGGGGGAAGACATTGAGAACAAGAATATTAAACAAGGGAAAAACAAGTTTCAGGGAAATTATAAATGTAAAAAAACACTAAATGTGGGTATGTGAAAGGAAAAGAAAATATTTAATTAAAGGAGGATTGGAGAAAATTTAATTCGACACCAAGAAAAAATCCTCGTTTCTAATGCTTTTGTAATAAAAAGAGTAAGGGAAGATTTAGTATGATGCATTCACAAACCAAAAGTTTAGGAAAAATTTTTCAGTCTTTTTTAATAATGCATTCTTTATTATATTCTTTGTCAGACATTTTTCCATTTAAATCTCATCTAATGAAACATACCAACTAAAAATAGAAGGCAGCTAGAATTGCTTGCTTATATCTAAACTTTGTTGATGGCTTTCGCCCTCCAGACTGAAGCTTAGTCATTCAACCATGTTTGATCAATTAACACATGGCCAGTGATCCTGGCTTTTCAGAACTGAGCGACATGTGTTGAAATATGACTTTCGTCATTGGATTCTTGTAGGAGAGTCAAGTGATTTCAAAATTCATCTTTTGTTTATGCTTCTTAAGGCAGTTTATTTGCTAAGTTTATCATAACACACATGCACACATATCAGCTTTTGTACCCTTTTGAGTTACTTAAAAACAGAAATCTAGTATATAGAAAATTTATTTTTCTATTATATAAAGGAATATAAATTACAGTATTACTGAGCTCCTTACCCATACGTTTAGAACATAGATTCTAATTTCAAACAGATTTCATGTATAACATTAATATAAGGTGTTGGATTTTTAACTTTATATTTCTTCAGCACATTCTGGTCCCTAAGAGATATAACACACAAAAAAATTACACATAATTTTTATTCTTGGTGAGCGATACTGCCTGGTTTGCCTTTCTGTAATATCTTGGTGAGCTGGACTCGATATCGTAGAAAGAAGTCTGCAGTTTCTTTTCTCCTTTGTGTAGAATCAACCAAGGGTCTAAGTTCGTTACTTTACTTCCTCACTTGACTAAGTCTCCAGAACCAAAATTGTCCCCAAAGCTAAATACATATCTCATTTCCCACAAACCTCAAAAGCTTCTAGGACTTTTCTCTGCAGCCCAAAGGCCTGGAGAAGCCCCAAAGGCATCCATTCTTTGACCCAAAAAGGCAAACAGGACCTCTTAGATAAAAAATCTGTATCACTAAAACCTACATTCCCCTGGTTTTATAATCCAATTGCTATTTATATATTAATTCAATTATTCAGTAAGTAATTTTTGAACCTCTACTCTATGGTAAGGAATAGTATCTAGTAAGGATACTAGAAAGGCATTCCAATAAGGAGCTTCCAGTCTAGGGAGGAAGATAGGCAAGTAAAGGGACAATTATTAATAGGTAGAGTAAGTGCATAGAAGGCCCCTCTCTAAGTCTTAGGAGTCAAGGGTGGCTTTGAGTTGAAACTGAAAGACAGGAAGAAGTTGCCCAGATGACTATCTAGACAAGAAATATGGAGGAAGGGCTGAGTCATTCTCACCTCCTACCCTGGCCATCCTTCCTACTATACTATCGTCCCTACCCCACCCAATCTGCAATGGTCTTAGAATTGAGATCTTGTGTTAGCTGATACAGTCCTCTATGTTTTCCATGATCTGTCCTTGAAAAGGTTGGGATAATTGGGGTGGAATGTAGCTATGACCAAGAGATAGCAAAATGTAGCCTGAGTCTTAGTAGAGAACCCCTTCTAATCTTGGAACTCAGACTGAATGGGAACTTACCCAGTTAGCGTTTCCCCTTTATTTATCACACAAGAATTGTTTGATTCCTTACACATCAAGTAACTCTTAGAAACCCCGTTTGAGCGGTGAAGAATAAATGAATAACTCGTGAATTATGTTTTTCTTTTAAACACTTGTGAGTCATATTTTAAAGGGAAAAGCCTAGCAAAGCCATCATTATTGGACCCATGGTGCTGACAAGTATTCAGACCCTGAATGAAACTAGGGCTTAGCCAGGTGCATCCAACCTCAGCAGACTTGTTTGTGGCAAAATAAACTTTGCTGCTACCACAAAGAGCAGGAAATCTGAAATAAGAAAAGGCCCTTCCCCAACCCCTTTTCTTGCTTCATTTGTTTAGAACCACAAGATCATGCCTTCCTTAAACATTGGAAAGCTCAAATTTCATGCTGTAGCTCATAGCTCTTAAAGTTTTTACCAGGGAAAGGAGCTCTAGCTATTTCAATATTGTGGTTTATAGTATCACCAAACAGACCTTTCTAGAAAATACAGCCTCAGGTCAGCTCCCTTGGAAACCTGTCTGTGAGGCAGCCCTCTCACAGTCAGAACTGTTTTTTACAAAGTTTCCACAGTATGGGATTCAGGGATATTTGTAATGGGATCCACATAAATGACTCATTGATGTAAAATAATGCTTACTTTTCAAGTAATTTGTTTATGTAGTTACCTTTCAAAACTGAAAAGTGACTAAACATTTGCTGTTCAATTAACTCTCTGGCATATGTGATACATTTGTTTATAATGGAACATCTTTAGTTTAAAAAAGCAAAAAACTCTGTATTTTGAGTTTGTCAAAAATACTAATAAAATACGAATAGTAAATTTTAGTTCATTTATAGCACAGTATAAGAAATTGAATTGATCCAAAAGTAATTTTACATGGATTAAGATATCCTTTAGTGAGGGTTCTCTGGAAATTGCACACTCACAATCATGAATTTGTAACTAACTGTTCGAACTATGCCAATTAAAATACTGTTGCAAATTCACGAGGCTTTGCATTTTATTTTTTTAGGTTAACTGTTAATGTTTTCCTTTTCACTGAAATAGGAGAGAGAAATCATACAGATATTGTATGGAGAAAAAAAATAACTAACTGAGGCACATAGGTTGTTGCTATAGGATATGGTCAGTTATCAAATTATGTCTGTCAGTTTTCTTTGACCACTCTTTTTTAGCCTGCATCTCACATGGAGAAAAAATAAAAACACTAAAAGCACTGGATCTTAGCTACATATGAATACCATGCGTATAGTCTCAAAGAAAGATTATTACTTCCCTTAGTTTAGATATGTGCTATAATAGAATATTCTCAGGTTATGATGCATTTTCTGAAAGTCAAATTGTACTGTTAACCAACTAGCATCATTTTTTTAATGTAGTGTAGGATGTTACTAATGAGAAATGGAGGTAGGTCATCTATTTTTATCTTAACAGGGAGAGCAAGGATCTCCAGGAATCCCAGGAATGGATGGAGAGCAGGTATTTTTCAAAGACATATGCTTTTATTTAAAGCATCATTCTTTTTTTTCTCTTTCTTTCTTCTTTTTTATTGCATTTTAGGTTTTGGGGTACATGTGAAGAACATGCAAGATTGTTGCATAGGTACACACATGGCAGTGTGGTTTGCTGCCTTCCGTCCCCTCACCTGTATCTGTCATTTCTGGATGCTTTTATTGTAGGTTTGAAGCCAAAATGTTAAGAGTGTTGATATTTGATACCCTCTTTCTTTTAACCATTTGTTCTAGAGACTTCATTGACTCTAAAAAGCAATTAGTTTGAAATTAGACATTAGTTTTCTTCACAGAAACATCTAAGCCATATAATACTTAAGTTTTGTTCTTAATACTTTGTATCAACCTACCAGTGACTCCTCTGAAAATTTTTAATAGACTTGTAAAATCATTACCAAGTTAGTAAAAATAGCCTAATTTTCATAAGTGAATACAAATATGTCAAGATTAAAATCAGTGACCATAGTTTCCACAAAACTAAATCTTGCCTATATGCCTTATTTAGATAATGGTTTTATTCCCCCCAAATAAAGATGACACCTAATCTGTAGATCCTTAGAAAATACAGAAACAAGCAGGGCACGTGTAGCTTTGCAGAGTGTGGTGATATATCTCTGAGGGTTTCCCCTAAAACAGGTTAGAAAGCTTTGTTAATAAAGGTCCAGATAGTAAATGCTTTAGGCTTTACAGACCACATACAGTCTATGTTGACATTTTCTAGTTTCCTTTTTATTTTACTTTGTTTTCTGGTTAATACCTCTTAGCATTTTTTAAAAAAACATTCACCCTGTACAAAAATAATCCCTCGGATGGATTTGGCCTGTGAGCCATGGTTTGGCAACACTTACCCTAAAAGCATCTGAGCTGGAGAACATAGACAGCATTCAGAATTTGGAATGGAATCAAAAGGATTCATTTTAAGATCTTTAGTGTTTTCTCTGTTTCCATTATTTGCTCAAGAAATGGCTAAAATCAGGAAAATCATAAGAAATCAAAAAGATTCTTTTTTTCCTTTAATCAAAAGAGTTCTTAATGCAGTCAGTGAACATACACTCCTCAGAAGAAAGTATTAGATAGGAAAATTAGGTTTAGGAGATATTATTTTTTTAATATCAGAGTTATATGTTTAAATAATATAATGCCATACTAAATGAATATGTGATAAAAAAAAAAAAACAAAGATACCCTAGATGATTTGCTATATCATAGACCACATAGATTTTTAAAATCTGTCTATGTTACTTGTCTCACCGTTGGTCATTATAAGTAATTAATTTGACATGCATGGTGATATATAATACGGCCCCTACAGATACAGTAGCTTGCTTTTTTTCTTCTTCTTCTTCTATAGGCTTTGCAAGGTTTTCTTCTGTCACCAAGTCCAGTGGGTTGCCATCCTGCTGCTCTCTATCACTAGATCCCTAAAAAATAACTGGGTCTGATTAACCAGTAAGATCTATCCATTCATTCAGGCACCTACCCACCCAGTGGGTAATTCTGGACTAGGTGCTATGAAATAGGTACAGTTAACAAGAAAAGTGCCTTTCCATAAATAATCTTTCTCCACAAATAATTTTTAATTAAAAAAGATAAACATTTGTGCAGCCTAGAAGCCCCTTACCATTTAACTATGATCATCTCTACTGAAGAATGAGCCATCGGTCATATTGAAGTGAGTTTTCTAGGATGAAAATGCTTAAAAATATAAATTTATGCCAGTATTAATATTATAAAATTCAGGCCTGGCATGGTGGCTCATGCCTGTAATTCTAGCACTTTGGAAGACCAAGGTGGGCAGATCACCTGAGGTCAGGAGTTTGAGACCAGCCTGACCAACATGGTAAAACCTCATCTCTACTAAAAATACTAAAATTAGCTGGATATGGTGGCACATGCCTGTTGTCCCAGCTACTTAGGAGACTAAAGCAGGAGAATGGCTTGAACCCAGGAGCCGGAGGTTGCAGTGAGCCGAGATTGCACCATTGCAGTCCAACCTGGGTGACAAAGAGACACTCTGTCTTTAAAAAAAAAAAAAAAAAATCCAAAATTCAGATTCTTTAACATTTATAATGCACATTTATCTATTTCCTCACTGTGAAAGAAGACTAAAACTAACATTCTGGCTCACCTCATAGAGATCATGAGAACAAAATAAGAACACTGTGAAGAGGTTGTTGTACTTTTAAGCATTGATTGAGCATTAGTGTGCAGCAAATGATCCAATGATTTACCAGTCTGTAGATTGAACCATTGAACACTGGTGGTGACTGGAACTTCTGCCGCAGTTAGGAGGGAGGGGAGTATAGCAGGTGGAGCTGAGAAAAATTTGTCTGGTATTTATTATTATATAACACTAGGTCCCAGTTCAAAATACATCCTGTACTATTGAGAATTAAATATATTAAGTTGTTTTCTGGTCTGGTGAGATAGAATTAGCTGCCAGGTAAAAATATAAAATCAGGAGAAATTATGTCAAAACCTAAGTTCATGAAAAACCTGGTGTTTCATACTTAAATAGCCTAAAATAACTTAATATATTTCCTTACAAGGGGAAATAGTATTGATTGCATGTAGAAAGTGGCTGTAAGTAATAACTCTACCTAAAAACAAAAAAGACTCATCTCAACATTGAACCCACCTATTAACCAAATTGAGCCAGAATTCTATTTTCCCTAGGATGTAACTATCAGAGATCAGTATGGTGCTTATGTGCCAACCCTATCTATCATTTTTAGGGACTCAAAGGCTCAAAGGGAGACATGGGGGACCCAGGTATGCCAGGTGAAAAAGGAGGAATTGGACTTCCTGGATTGCCGGTACGTTTATACTTTTATATTATGTTCTTATTAAGATCAATTAAACAATCAGAAAACAGTTATATTATTAGCTGCAATCTCATCTAGTGGCTCATCTAATATTTTTATTTTGAAATATTTGAAGTATTATTGGTTAATTGCTCTAGGGAACACAAATTGTAAAGCATGTAACTAAATGAATTATGAAGTAAGCCTTCATGTTTTCCTGAATTGTTTTCCCTAGAAGATAATAAAATAAACATAGTTGGCCACTTTAATTTAGCATGCATAAGATGGTGGTAACTGATTATAAAATAAACCATAATAAAGAAACGAGCCAAAAAATATTTAAATTAAAAAACAAATTACAATTAAAAAACAAATTACTCTGGAAAGTGTCCTCTGTGTGTATGATCCTATGTGATAGTGTTTTATGGTTTTCCTCATAATTCTTACTGAGAATTTGGATGAGAAAATGTAAACTTGTTTTAAAAAAATGCAGTAAGCTCCATTGCCTTAGGCTTTTTTATAAAACAAAAAAGTATATAAATATCAGTAAAAACTAAAAGACTTACCTATGCTGTTTAAATTGCACACCACCATAAAAGATATAACATTTATAACTCAGTATATATTTAACACTGGAGAACTTTAACCTATCAAGCTCAAACTAGTTTTTATTTACTCTGTGTTTTATTTTACATATCACCCATAATCCTAGGGATTTTAGTAAGCTTGCTTTTTTAAGCTAGAATGTAAGGAGATAAATCCCTTTTTTCTGTAGCAAGTGCATAATATTATAAAATGTCAAGAGAACAATGGGGTTGGGGAGAAAATTCAGTTGTCTCTTATGTTGGAAATAAACTTGCTTAATGGTTATTTATAGGGAGCCAATGGAATGAAAGGAGAAAAAGGAGATTCTGGAATGCCGGGTCCACAGGGTCCTTCTGTAAGTCCATTGGCAGCTGAACTGCCATGGTTCCTGAACCTTCTCACATGCTGACTTGTTATTTACCTATACCACTTCTGCCAGGCTGAACAACATCACAAAGACCTTAAACCTCTTGGTTTGTCAAATTGTAGGAGAAACATTCATCAGCCTTGCATAGTGACAGATGAAGTATCTCAGAGGTCCGAGGAAGAAGTAGGTTTTCAGAGGACTATCTAATTCTAAGGAAAAAAATCAATGGTTTTCCCGTAACAATGGATAGATCTTCGTGAATACAGAACATGCTTGTTAGTTTCTCCAGAGCCCTCCTTATGCTTAGTGACATATTTGAGTTTGATAGTAGTGACATTATAGCATTTCTTGGTAATTAGTTGCTTTGTTTTCTTTTAGCATACTTTTAATTTATTCTGGCTTTCGTAGAACTTTTTTTGGAGTATTTTTTTTTTATTCTCACAAGGGAATTTCTAAATCAAGAGAATCAAACACATCACTTATTTCAGTATCTTTCTTCCTCTGCAACTACTAATGGTCTTAGCAGAACCCCAGCACAAGATTGAAGTTGAACTGCCTTATCTAAATGAAGTAACCAAATACATTTTTATTTTTTGAACATACAGATCATAGGCCCACCAGGCCCACCAGGTCCCCATGGCCCACCTGGCCCCATGGTAAGTTTCCCTTTTTTCTAAAATGTAATTGCTTATTTATGAGCATGCTACTAGGGAAAACATGAACACATCCCTCTAAACAGCCAGCTTGCATTTTGTGCTACTCTCTGTGGAATGATGGAAAATACCAGGTGCTCTGAGATATACTAACTTTATCATGTTGTCTTTCACTCTCCCAAACACATATGTTGGGAATAGATAGAGTAGTTCTCTTCTATGACAGAGGTGAGGAAAGACAGACAGATCTAGCAAGCTCTACTATAACCTTACAGCATGAACACTGGCAAATCATTTTATCCAGTTGCTGGTCTAACCTGATACCAGTAGAATAAGATCAAGAATCGACTGCACACAATGGCTTATGCCTGTAATCCCAACAGTTTGGGAGGCCAAGGCGAGCAGATCATTTGAGGTCAGTAGTTACCAGCCTGGGCAACATGGTGAAACCATCTCTACAAAAAATACAAAAATTAACTGGGCCTGGTGGTGCACTCGTGTAGTCCCGGCTACTCAGAAGCCTGAGGAGGGAGGATCACCTGAGCCCAGGGAGGCTGAGGCTGCTGTGAGTTGTGATCATGCCCTTGCAGTTTAGCCTGGGAGACACTGAGACCCTATCTCAAAAAATAAAAAAATAAAATAATAATGGCCATTAAAGAATGTTTCTTACAAAGGTTGAAGTTTGAACTCTTTAATGAAATGCTCAATAAAAACATTTTAATATATGGCATCAAAACATCACATTGTATCCATAAATATATAGTTATTATGTATCCATTTTTAAGAAGAATATTTGTAAAATAGTGTGGTAAAAGTTGAAGCTTCCTTCCACAGATAATGTATATTGTTAGAACTTCTCCTTCTCACTTTTATGGTACTTTGATCAACTCACTGAGCCAGGGCCAGTGCTAGCTGCAGGTGTCTTTCAGTGGCCAATGGAGACAGTGACCCTGCCCTCAAGGAACTGAGGTCCAGTGAGGAAGGCAGTCAGTAAGCCAAGTATAATTCTCTAAATGACAAACCAGTGACAGTTGTGTTAAGGTTAGAATGTCAAAGGCAGAGAGCTTCAAGTGCTTTTGACTGGGGCAGAATAGGATCAAGTCAGGCAGGCTAGATGTGTGTCTCTAAGGTGTTAATAAATCAAAAGACTTCAGTATTACAGAATAAGTAAATTGTGGTCACTCTTTCCTCCCATTGCACTCCAAGAAAGAGCATTATTGGAATGATCTAAGCCACAGAAGGTAGCTAGTCATCCATTTCTGACTAGGTCCATTTCTAAACAATTATTATTGACCCTATTTTCTTTTCTTTTTTAATTTTTTTTTTTTTTTTTTTTTTGGAGACAGCGTCTCACTCTATCGCCCAGGCTGGAGTGCAGTGGCACGATCATGGCTCACTGCAACCTCTATCTCCTGGGCTGGGCTCAGGTGATCCTCCCACATTAGCCTCCCTAGTAGCTGGGGCTACAGGCACATGCCACCAACCACACCCAGTTAATTTTGTGTTTTTTGAAGAGATGAAGTTTCACCACATTGCCCAGGCTGGTCTCGAACTGCTGGGCTGAAGTGATGTACCCACCTTGGCCTTTCAAAGTGCTAGGATTATAGGTTTTAGCCACCTCGCCTGGTGTGACCTTATTTTCTTAAAACCAAATGGTTCATTAAGAATTAAGCAAATGGCATACTTTCCGCTTTTTAAAAATACTCCGTCTACTATAAGATAGGAGGTTAAGTTAGAATATGCTATATCCTGTTCATATCATAAAATTAACTAAAGGAATTTTAAACCCTTATTAAAATGAGATAAGAATACCTGATAAAGTAACAGCCTTTTCCTGAAAACGTTTATCTGAAACTTATCGAAAAGCAAAATATTATTCTAATGTGGACATATGTAACAAATATCTAGGCATTGCTCAATAAAAACTTTTTTTTTGCAGTTATATAATTTTACTGACAAGTATCTAAATACTCCTTTCTCCAAATAGTTTAAAACACTTGAAAAGTTTACAGCAATCCACAGTAAGCGTAGTTAACTAGTCTCTATAATTAGATTTTCTACAAAATACACATTTTGTAATCTTGATTCATGCACGTATTATGATTTTCTTCCACCAATAATTATTACAGGAGCCTTGAAGAATTTGTTTTGTAAAAGTAAATGCAATGTAAATAATAATGCTTAGCTTTCCTACCTAATGATCTTTTCTTTAATCTTAAACTAAATAAATGATGCTACAGAATCCCAAACTTGGGTGTCATCTCCTCACTAGTCTCCTTTAGATTCTTCAACACCTTGGGTCTGGAGGAGTTAATAGAAAATGTCTCCTCTTTCCCTGGCACCTAAAATCTGGGCCTTCTCTTTGGCAAATTTCTCTTTGAAGTCATATTTTCATTTTACTTAAACTCTTGAAATATCTCATGTATTCCACTCAGATTTTTTAACGGTAATTTGAGTTCAGAATAAAATATTCTTTCTTCCACGTTTCCCTGGCAGATTTCTTCCTCCTCAAAGGTATTAGCAGACAGAATGGCTATTAATGAATTTCCTATTACAGAGCAATCCAAGAGCTGGAAGGAACTTTTGGTAGGTAATAAATAACATCTACTAGCCTGCCTCTAGCTATATAGCCCAAACAAGAAGATTCTTGTTTTACATATCTCTTTTGTTACTTGATATAATATTCACTTCTGCGGGGAAACAGTGAATCGATTCTTAATTAAAAGCTCTGTTTTCCATTTTCAGGGACCTCATGGACTTCCTGGACCAAAGGTAATCCAACAAATCCCTTATTTGATTTCTGTTTCCTTGATAATCGTGGAGAAGCATGACAGAAGCATGTCTGTCCTGTCTTATTTGTCAAGTAATGTTGATAATCTTTGAGCCTTTAAGCATCCAGATGTTTAGATCTCATAACACAAAATGACTTATAACAAATTTAAGAGATATCACCTGGAGATAAATTATTCCTCATTTTGCCTTTTTCCTGGTCACTATGTAAGCTTCTTAAATTGCAAATCATAATGTACTCAAGTCTACCATTTAGAAGTGAATCTGATGAGATTCGCAGACTAGTCTAGATGCTTTTTTTTAATGGTGACTCTAGCTGCATATTTGAATGCTATTGATATTTCTTACTTGCCATGTAGTTCATACCACATCTAAATGCTTTGCCTCTTCAGCATCTTAATTTTGTACTCTCCCGAAGGTTATTGGTCTAGAAGGGGGTGGGGCATTTCAGGTGTGCTATACTGGGAAGAAGATCAAATCACTTACATGCCTTCTATACTTTTGCATTAAAGAGAGAACAATGGCGGAAATCTCCTCTTTGTCAGAATTAGCGTAGCTTGCATCATGAAGATGGCCTCCACCTGCCCTATGCCTTATCGTAGACTACAAGGAGATCCTGGAGGATTAAAATAAGCCCTGAAAGACAAGCTGCCCCTTTCAAGGAGCAGGCATGAGGAGGACCTATGTTCTAATCTCAGTCTTGCCAGGCTGTATCAACATGAGCAGGCTATGGACCCTCTGATCCTTTATTTACTCAACTAGGTAACTCACTTTGCAGTGCTGTGATAACTTTTTTTTTTTTTTTTTTTTTTTTTTTTTTTTTTTTTTTGAGACAGAGTTTTGCTCTTGTTGCCCAGGCTGGAGTGCAATGGCACAATCTCAGCTCACTGCAACCTCTGCCTCCCGGGTTCAAGGGATTCTCCTGCCTCAGCCTCTTGAGTAGCTGAGATTACAGACATGTGCCACCATACCTGGCTAATTTTTGTATTTTTCTGGTACAGACAGGGTTTCTCCATGTTGGTCAGGCTAGTCTCGAAATCCCAACCTCAGGTTGGCCTTAGCCTCCCAAAGTGCTGGGATTACAGGTGTCAGCCATCGCATCTGGCCCAGTGCTGTGATAACTTAGTGAGGTATGATTACAAAACACTCAGCAAAATATCTGGTACAGCTATTGATAAATATCAAAAGACAGCTGTTCTTGTTGCTATGTGATACTTTGTTCTGAACAGAAAAATTCTATAACTCATCCTCAAGGCTGCTTGAAAGAAGGTTCATGAACCCCTGAGAGTGCCTCAGTAGTGAATGGTGCAACTAAAAGGTAGGGGCTGGGGAGACACATATAGGCAATGTTGGCACTAGTGTCACAAAGCCTAGAGATAGGCCACCATCTCCTCTGGGGGAGGCTGGCTGCCTTTGGCCCACCCAGCTCCAGGGGTGGTGGCAGGTATCGGTCTGACTCAGAAAATCTGGGTTTCCTTTTCCCAGCAGGCAGGTGACATCCAAGAATAGGAGAAGGTCACGCCTCTTTATTCTTCTTAGACTACGTTACCTTCTGGTAAGGCCAGGGAGTAACAGTATCTCAGAAGCATGAATTAGACTTTGGGGTGAGAGCACTATCTGGTGGGGTGGTCAAAAGAGAGAGCCCCATCTATCAGCTTTGTGATCTTAGTAGTCGTTTAATCTCTCTGGGCCTTTTTCCCCATCTGGAGTAAATCGATCCTTCCTACTCTTGGATTTTAAGATGCCACCAAACACCAGCCTGTCATAATGACTAAGGATAATGCCACCAAGATATTTAATTTCATAAATGATTCAGATATGCCATCACCATTGGATTAAGAGATGCCCAAGATGCTTTTGATTTCTAAAATGCAACATTTTGTCCATACAACTTCAATGTTTACTTAAATCGTAAGTTTCAGATAATTATGAAGTTGAAAAGACTTCATAGATATCTATGCAAGTTCCCCGATTTTATAGATGAGAAACTACAGGCCTGAACAGTTTAGGTTATTTGCCCCCAAATTACACAGCTAGTTCGTGACAGATGAGGGACTGAACTTAGGTCCAGACTTGAAATTCGGTCTTTCTGTCACTGGATTTAACCTCAAGGACCTCACAAGGCCACTTGCTGAAAGTGCACACACGTGCCAAGCCACGGATCTCAAATCAGTCACTGACTATTGGGTCTTGGCCTTAATATTGTGTCCTCAATCATAGCATTCCCAGAAGGGCACCTTACCAACACCAGCACGTTCAGACTTGCTATAGTGGCTGCACTGCAAACATCCTATCTTCAAAATCCTGAAAATGTTTTATGCCATGCCAATGTATTCATCACTTTGTGACCCCCTTTGAAAGTTCACATATAGAGCATGATTCCATGCATGAATCTAGCTCGGTGTTTCCCAGAATTTCCTGATAAGAATCACCTGGGAGGCTTATTAAAGATACCCATTTCTGTGCTCCCAGGAACTGGGTGGGGCCCTGAACTCTTTAACAAGCACTACAGTGAGTTTCATCATCAGGCAAGTTGAGTAAATACTACCCAGGTTAAAAACCGCTTCTGCCATGTGAGTATAGTCTCTCCCCTTCCCACCCCCACCCAGTAAGACTCTATAGGGCATTTGTATCTGAAATCATCCTTCTTTCACAAGTCCTTGAAGATTTTCTTGACAAATGTCTACACGTAAAAGTTGAAAAGTATACAGGTCAGAACTTGATATCACCCGTGCTGTTACTGATGAAAAATAGGTGTGCTATATTTCTTGATTTTTAAAAACAGTCAAGAATTTTATCATTTGTATCTTTTGTAATGTCACCCTGAGTTAAACTCATGCTTTTTCTAACACTGGGCAGATGACAGTTAATAAAACTACATTTAAGTTCTTTGATCTTCATTTTCTCCTGGGATTGGTGATTTGGTGATTGGTCCATGTAGGGATCTGACTTGGCCGGGGCAGTGAATGAGGACTTGCTAAATGGCATTACTTCAAACAGCAGCTGCTACGTTTTTAGCTCATTCCCTTGGGCAAAATGCTTAAAGGCTTAAAATATCTGTCTATAACCCTGTCCTGTATATTCCAGTTTTCGATTCCAGCAGAGTGGGTTTTTTTTTTTTTTTTTTCCGAATCTTCTTCAGCATCCTGTACTCGATTGTATTTGATCATAAAAATGTGGTATAACGTGAATTTCCTTGAGCTAGAACTGAAAAATTTAGGAATTCAATCATACATATTTTTATTGTAAGGAGGACACTTTCTTGGGAGTTTTGATTTCTAGAATGTTAATTGTTGTCAGTTTAGTAACTATTTTAATGTTTAAAATTAATGTTTGGTGCAAGACAAATCTAGCCTGACTCTGCTGTTTCCTAAAACTGGAATCTGCAACTATTTCAGAGACTGGTTCTCTTCTCTCACAGTTTAAACACCCATAATAGCAACCAAAATTGGCATTTGCTTTTGCATTTAGGGTGAACCAGGGTTAAATGGTGTTAAAGGATTGAAGGGTGAACCAGGTCAAAAGGGTGACAGAGGACCCCTTGGTCTTCCAGTAAGTAAAGAAAACTTTCCATTTTAGTGCAAATCTCAGATTTTTTCTTTCTACCCTACGTGATAACTCTGGTTTACTCAGCAGCTCATACTGTTGAGGTTTCCGTAATTAGAAAACATATCATGTTAGAGCAGAGCTCAGCCCAGTTTTGTTTTCTCTGATGTCTGCTCTTGTGACAAAGGAAGACCCACAACAGACAATGCTATAAATGTCCTGTCATTTTTCAATTACATACATGCCAACCTTCCTCTTTTAGGGCTGACAGTTCTTCTCCCATGATCCCCTTCTTTTAAAAGTGTTATGCTCATAATTTTATAGTTTCTCCCAAACGCTTCTTATAATCTAGTACAGTTTAAAATGCTTCCTTGTTTTTTCTCCTTGGATACCAAAAACCTTAGCCCTCTGTTGGTGGCAGGTATGCAATTGGCCATTGCTGATGGCGTGAGGTTGATGCTGTGGCTCCTTAATCAGTCATACTATGTTCTGCGTGTTTTATGTTGTTTGTTTTGAAAATTCCCTGTTATGAGGTTCCTGTGGCAATAGTGGGTAGTATGAAAGAATTATTTTGCAGTTGTTTAGAGACGTTTATTTGTAATGAAGGAATCTCCCCCCGGCTCTTCATTTTCTTTATGTCAGCGTTCTTTCCACAACAACTAAGAAGAGATATTTTAAAACTGTTATTAAATATGAGGCTTTAATTTCAAGCCTTTCATATACTATCTATTCAGTGAATATGGATACAAATCAAAAAAGAACAATATGGATTACTTTAGTAAAATATGACATAAGATCAGTAACAATATAGTTTATACGCAATTTGAAATATGGGAGAAAAAAAGTTGATGACTGTTTATTTTTGCCATGGGTATTATGCTTTATGCAGTTGATAGCAAGTGCCTTACATACATCCAGCATACAGTAGATTGTCAATAGGTATTTATTTAATGAATGAATGATATAAACCTTGTGTTAGAACATAGGTTTATTTTACTTACTCATTGTTGAGATATACTCTCTGTCACCCAGACTGGAGCGCAGTGGCACAATTTTGACTCACTACAATCTCCACCCCCCAGGTTCAAGTGATTCTTGTGTCTCAGCCTCCTGAGTAGCTGGGATGACAGGCACATGCCACCATGCCCAGCTAATTTTTGTATTTTTTACTAGAGATGGGGTTTCACCATGTTGGCCAGGCTGGTCTCGAACTCCTGACCTCAGGTGATCCACCCATCTCAGCCTCTCAACATGCTGGGATTACAGGCATGAGCCACCAGCCCAGCCTAATATAGGTTTAATCACACCAGTTAGATCAATGGACCACAGTTATAAAACCTCTACAATGTATGTGAGTCATTAATTCAGCATTCTAGGTAGATATAATATTGGTATAAAATTATTAAAATTTCCCCATTTTTTTTTTTCTTTGAAGCAGTGACTCACTGTGTCACCCAGGCTAGAGTTTAGTGGTAGAAGCATAGCTCACTGCAGGTTCAAAGTCCTGGGCTCAAGTGATTTTTTTTTTTTTTTTTTTTTTAATATTTTATAGAGATTGGGTCTCACCATGTTTCCCATGCTGATCTCAAACTCACGGCCTCAAGCAATCTTTCCACCTCGGCCTCCAAAAGCTCTGAGATTATAGACATGAGCCTCTATGCCTGGCCTACATTTATTTTCAAATGTTGTTGTTATAATAACAATAACTGAAAGAAAATATCAAAAGACAAAGTTTGGATTTTAACTTTCAATCTGATTTCTTTAAAGTCTGACCTAATTTAAAATTTAGGGATACTGATAATTTTTATGCAACATTTAGTTAAGCTCTGCCTATGCTAACCTTAAACAGCCAACAATATACATTTTTATTGTAATTATTGCTAACAAAAGAGATATTCTTGAAACAAGCATTGAAAATGCCATTTTTAAATCATACACTATCTATGAGTAGCCTAGAGTTCAAAGTAAAGAAAAGCATTCATTGTCTGACAACACTAGATTTTTAAAGTTATTTTCCCAGTCAGGCTTTGATGCAAAGATTATTTGAAGGAATTGACAAACAATTTAGTTTGGAAGTTATTTTTTGCTCACCCTCACAATTTGTTTTCTGGCTTTTTCCCTTTCCTAGAAGTCCCTCTAGTGGAAAGTAATGTGAACAGTAGGAACCATCCAGAAAACCATGAGTAATTGTGGATGTAAATTCCACCAAGAGTCATCCTAACATGTGAAAACCCTGCATTTGTTATTCATAAACACTATTTTAACAAGTATAACCAGAGCTCTTTTTCCTCTTCTGAAATGCTAAATTTGATTATTATAATGAGCCCTTTCTTAGGAAATTGCTATTCTTTTCTCTTCAGAACCTAAAGAAATATATGGTGAATAGCAGTCTTGAGAAAACGAATTTCATATGGAAAATAGATAAAGCCTGTGACTGTTACGAGTAACTGCTTTGTAGCTCAGTTTATACACTTCATTATCTTGATTTCTAAATAAGAATGTCAAATAGAAATGTCATTAAAATGCCATCATCTGTGGGGTGTTTGTCATGTGGTTTGTTTTTTTTTTAACTAACAATTTGTAGCAATGTGATATTCATCCCAGAACCCTGTAACTGCGTATTATGTTGTTTGAAGTGTTACATTTGTTCATCAGTACCTCATACTAATCTCTGTTCTTGTCATTCGTGTTACACCCACCAACCCTGCTACCAACCAAATCACACAGGGAGCATCTGGCTTAGACGGAAAGCCAGGATCCCGGGTGAGTCAGTCGCTCGTCTTGTTCTGACATGTTTTGTGGATGTGGATCATGTGCTTCAGGATAGACCCTTTGCTCTGTGTCCTCTCATTAAATGGTGAGGGAGTACTTAGAGCTGGAGTAAGAGGAGAAGGTGGACAAAGATGGTGGCAAAAAGGGGAAAGCTGGACAGAGGACGGTTGCAACTCTGGAGATCAGCGAAACTGCCAGAATATCTTTTTGAAGCCCATGTTCAAGTCCGGATAATTTGCTAGGTGGGAAGAATGACCAGACTAATTGGCTTTATTGTCTTAGAATCCCAGCTGAATCTTTCCAGAACCAATAGGCAAGCCCTACAATTTCATAAGAGAGGCCCTCTGAAGAGATTAAAATAATGTGAAATTATTTTAACTTGCTTTTCCTTTTAGACTTACGTCCATTTTACACATGTGGCTTCTTCCTTGGCACTAACTTTCGATTTCTGTTCATAGAAATGACTTGTCTGTCTTCTGTCATTTTGTCTTTTTTCTTTAGTTCTTATCAGCTCCAGCTCTTAAACTTCAGCGACAGATACTTAGTATTTAGAAGTCTTCTGAAGGTGAACTTTGAATTCAGGCAGTAAGAAAAAGATCAGTTAAGCTGATGAGAATTCAGCAACATTAGAATGAGTTTAAAATTCTGAATTCTTTCTTATCCTAAGGCTCTAATAGAATAAACCAGAATAGTAGAACAGAAATGGAATACTAAAGAAAAATTATGCTGGAATAGTTCCTACATTTGCAAATATTGTAATCAATTGTTTGTGAATCTAAGCATAGTTATCCTGGAAATGAGCAAATGTACTTGAAGTCCTGGCTATAGTTTTAAGAATCTCGGCCGGGCACGGTGGCTCAAGCCTGTTATCCCAGCACTTTGGGAGGCCGAGGTGGGTGGATCACGAGGTCAAGAGATCGAGACCATCCTGGTCAACATGGTGAAACCCCGTCTCTACTAAAAATACAAAAAATTAGCTGGGCATGGTGGCACGTGCCTGTAATCCCAGCTACTCAGGAGGCTGAGGCAGGAGAATTGCCTGAACCCAGGAGGCGGAGGTTGTGGTGAGCCGAGATTGAGCCATTGCACTCCAGCCTGGGTAACAAGAGCGAAACTCCGTCTCAAAGAAAAAACAAAACAAAACAAAAAAACAAAACAAAAAACAACAACAACAAAAAAAGAATCTAAGGTTGGGTGCAGTGACTCACGCTTGTTAATTCCAGTACTTTGGGAGGTCGAGGTGGGTGGATCATGAGGTCAGGAGTTCAAGACCAGCCTGGCTAACATGGTGAAACCCCATCTCTACTAAAAATACAAATATTAGCCAGGTGTGGTGGTGGGTGCCTGTAATCCCAGCTACTCGGGAGGCTGTCACTTGAACCCAGGAGGCAGAGGTTGCAGTGAGATGAAATCATGCCATTGCATTCCAGCCTGGATGACAGAGCAAGACTCAGTCTCCAAAAAAAAAAAAAAAAGAAAAGAAATTTCCACCTTTTCAATTCTAAAAACTTATTTCAGGCAGTCATTATTATTTTCACTGGACCTCAGTGTTATTCCATTCATTCAAATATTCTCTCTTCTACCACAGAAATCCTAATCCTGAACTAAGCAGGAGAATAAAAGGCAATTACACCTTTAAGTCATCTTGGCTGCCTGGTTTGTGAGTTAGAAGCTTAGTGACCAGCAACTGCCTCAGAATCTAGAAAAATGATTCCTTTCCTATAAGCCACTGCTGCCCCCAACAGAGCCACAGAGAGTTTGGATTGAACAGTTACACACTGTTTTTACTTACTTAATATTTTTCTTCCATTTGTGTAACTGTTCAAGCCTCTTAAACAGCTGAAAACAAGAGTTTAGAGCCTGCCCAGCTAAGGGTGACAGTGGGCACAGAGAAGGGGCTTGAGGAAGAGGTGACAGGAAGGAAAAACAATTACATTTTTCTTCTTAAGATTATGGGGCAAAGTGAAGATGCTTTATTTATTTATTGAGACAGAGTCTCACTCTGTTGCCCAGGCTGGAGTGCAATGGCATAATCTTGGCTCACTGTAATCTCAGCCTCCTGGGTTCAAGCGATTCTTCTGCCTCAGCCTCCAGAGTAGCTGGGACTACAGGCACCTGCCACAATGCCCAGCTAATTTTTGTGTTTTCAGTAGAGATGGGGTTTCACCATGCTGGCCAGGCTGGTCTCAAACACCTGACCTCAGGTAATCTACCCACCTCAGCTTCCCAAAGTGCTGGGATTACAGGCGTGAGCCACTGCGCAGAGCCAATGATGCTTTCTTTAAGTCAGAGGAAAATACACAATTAAATATGATATGCGGCCGGGCGCGGTGGCTCACGCCTATAATCCCGGCACTTTGGGAGGCCGAGGCGGGTGGATCACAAGGTCAAGAGATCAAGACCATCTTGGTCAGCAAGGTGAAACCCCGTCTCCACTAAAAATACAAAAATTAGCCGGGCATGGTGGTGCACGCCTGTAATCCCAGTTACTCGGGAGGCTGAGGCAGGAGAATTGCTTGAACCCAGGAGGCGGAGGTTGCGGTGAGCCGAGATTGTGCCATTGCACTCCAGCCTGGGTAACAACAGCGAAACTCCGTCTCCAAAAAAAAAAAAAAAAAAAAAAAAAAAAAAAAATGATATGCAGCTTTCTGTGTCCCTTTCATTGAAATATGCAGTTATATAATTCATCCTTTTTGCATGAGTTTCTTGTAAACCACTGGCCTGAAATAATCAAGCGTAAAGCTTTGAAAGGAGATGAGTTGTCTTACTGACATTCTTAGGCACCATTCACCCAGGAAAAATCCAGGATAAATTATAACTGCTATTCTTGCAGCCCTTGTGATATGTCTCATATTATCTTTTTTTTTTAGGGTACAGATGGTCCTATGGGACCCCATGGCCCTGCAGGTCCCAAAGGAGAAAGAGTAAGTTGTTGCTGAGATTATTAAGCTGTGTACTAAAGAAAACACAGAGTATGACTTTTCCATACTAGTTGAACTGTTCATTTTTCAGAAGAAATAAAGGGCTATCTAATACTAAATAAAAATAGATACCATCCTAAGTTCTATTCAGAGTCCTAATATTGAGAGAAGAAAACCACAGAGCATAAAATAAAACATGGCTGCCTTAATAAAAACAATACATTCATTTACATAGCTCAAATAAATAGTTCAGATGATTCTTCCTTTACCCATAAGGAAGATATTTTCATTTGGCCTTCATCCAGAAAGTCGAAGTCAATGGAACTAAAATTTCCAGGAGTATGTATTCTGGTTGATAATCTTTTATATAAAGCTACTGTAGTCATTCAGACTAGGTTATAACTTTTTTTCAAAGGAAATTATGAACCTTAAGTATTATTTTCCTAAAGGATAGGCTGTTTTTCTTTAACCATAAGGAAATAATTCAGTGCATTATAAAACAAAAACCTTTCACTAACCTCTCTATTGCTAAGCCATGTTTCCATATCTTTTGGGGAGGGGGGGAAATGACATTCAGAATGGAAGATAAATATCTGACACAAAGAAATGTACTGCAGAATCATCAGCTGGTCGTCTGTCTGGGACGTTCTCTCTCTCTTCTCTTCCTCCCACTTTTTCTTTTCCTCACCTTGGAAATCTTAGAAGTATTTTTGTGTGTCTGAGTGGAATTATGTCATCAATTTCCCTACCATCTAGGACAGGATATAAAGAAAGTATTTTAATGGGGAGGGCTTCAAAACGTTAGAATGATTCACTGTGCAATTTTGTGGTCTTTTAAAAACTAGATAGATTTTCAACAGTCTGGGTAATTTGCTTTCAAAAAAAAAAAGAGGCCCAGTAGTGATTTCTTTGCCATGCCTTCTGGTTCCATAATTCTGTGTTGTGTATAGTGATCTCGTTCATTCAGGAAATATTTATCAAATGCTACTATGTACAAAGTGTGGTATTACTCCTTGTGTGAAATGGAAACACTCTCTTCCCATTTAGGTCAAGCCTATTTTGCTAATTTGCTTCAGTACATTGAACAATACCATTATGATTAATCATCTCCTGATATTTTACTAATATTTACAAATATATACTGAATGCTGCAAAGAAAGCAACTATTCTTCCTGACCTAGAAGAGTTTGCAATATAATTGCAAAGAAAAAAAATGCATACAGGAAATAACCAGAGAATGAGGCCAAAATAATACAAACAGTAGAATCTGTACAGTGATGAAGATTGGCTTTATCCAAGAATGTTTGTAAAAGGAGATGAGTTCTAAGGGAACATAGAATCTGAATTTGCAATTGTCATATTTCTAAGATCAAGCCAACGACTTCTGAAGATCATCTTAATTAAAAATATTTAAAAGCTAAAAGTCTCAATGCTTCTGACGGAGATTGGCTTTCAAGCATTGTATGAAGAAACTCAGCCCATGTACTAAAAATGGAGCAGCAAATCTCAGGCAGTCTTTTGGCAGAGTGCCCTGGGGCTCATGAGGGTTTGCCGTGTGGTAAATCAGCTGCTACTTCCGATAGCTCTGCAATGTCACAAGAGTATCAGGTCTCAGTGCTGGAGTAGAATTAGCCAGAAGAGCAAACGAAATTGCTAAGAATTTTGAAGGCATAGTTTTAGTCAAATGGTGTGCAGTGTGAAGTGTTGCTCTTGTATTTACTCAGCATGTTAACTATCTTAACTGGATCATGTATCAGTACTCTCCAAGTGCCCCTCACTGGAAGTGCTAAACTGGAGTGTGATTCTCAGAGTTAATTGATGGAGGTACCATCTGGACTCTCTTGAAAAAGTTTCAATTTTAAAGAAGTCAGAAACAGCAAAAGGAGGCATTCTAGAATAATACCTTAGTGTTGACGTCTAGAGCTTTTGCTCTTCTTTGCCTTTCCGTTGAAATTAGAACAACCTAAAAGAAACCACACATTTGTCAGGCAGTGTTATTCAAACATTTTCAAATGTATGACTGACAGCGTGAATATTCCACTCTGCAAGCACCTGATGCTCCCTACCTTGGCTGATTTCTTCATTTGGCTTTGGAACTCTATAGTGTGTTAAGTTTGAGAGGTTGAAAAACACTTTGGAATTGCTTAATCCAGGTAAAGCAGTTGCACATTCAAATCCCTGTGTTAATCTTTCATTCCTAAAAGTTTTCAAGCTGGAATCATTAGAATGCTTTTGGCTGTGATAGAACCCAAATTCAAAATGGCTTACGCAATAAAGAAATATATTGTTTTATATAAGAAAATATTTAAAGGAGGACTCAAGGTTTTGCCTGGGGGCCGTTTTCCACATGTTGGCTTTGTCTTCTGACGATAGACAAGCTGCCCACAGTGGTCCAAGCATCCTCTCTCGTGAGACACTGGCAGAGAACAGAGAGACTACCCCCATGTCTCTTCCTGAGCAGGGAGGAAGCTTCCACAGAGCTTCTCGGCTGATACCCCTGACACCTCCTTTGCCAGAGATGGGTCAGCTGTCCATTTCTGAGACGGTCACTGGCAAGAGAAATGGAACTGCCATTAATAGCTTGAAGTAATTATTTGGGGTGGGCTGTTCTAGAAGAGGAGTTTCACAAACAACTGTCTTAGTGACAGCTTTATTTGAATAAGCCATAATATATTTGTTTTAAGAATAAGACAAAGCCAAGATTCCTAGGGGAGAAGGGAGTGGTTATATCAAAATAATCTGTGGAGACTTTTCCAATTAGGCCCACCCTAAGCTGTAGAGTTATTTCAAACTAGACATGGTCCAGTTTTTGTGGCTCTTCCCTTAAAACCATCACCTCCCACTACACACACACACACACACACACACACTCACCCGCTACTGATTATTTTGTTTCATTTTTTAGAGATAGGGTCTCACCTTGTTGCCCAGGCTGCTCTCAAACTCCTGGCCTCAAATGATCCTTCTGCCTTGAACTCCCAAAGTGCTGATATTGCAGGCGTAAGCCACCACACCTGTCCCTTTCTCCATTCTCAACCGGATTGGTATTTCACTATTAAGTCCTATGCTATAGATATTTTTTATAGATGCCTCTTAACAAGTTAAGGTAATTCCCTTCTTAAAAAAATGTTTAATGTTTTATTTAAAATCTGGTCACTCTGTTGAGTACAATTGCTTCTGCTTTAGTTATTACTAAAGGTAGTAACTGAAAATAAAATAAAAATAAAATAAATATAATAAAAGCTTGAATTTTTATATTTATTTTCAGTAATCTCACTTGTGTTACATTGCCTTTAGGTGACAGTGTTAATTCATTTCACTGACCCCTCAAATTTAGATAAAGAAAATGCTAACAGGGACCTGAAATTTGCTCACATGGGAATCTGGAGGAACACAGGCATATCAGGTGGCTCTTGCAGGCACTCTTATCAGCTGAACCTGGCATTTTGCCATGAAAAAATATTTGCTGCCTTTAAACTCCTTCAGGGGTATGATAAAAGGAGATAAGATTTTCTGTTTGGCTACTCATATAAAATCACTATTACTCCTGAAGTTTCCAACTAAATACTGACAAACACTTAAATTTGGAGATGGCACAGAAGAAAACACCATTTGAAATACAGAACATCTTTCATTATTATCACAATTATTTTATTCACAAGACTAAGTCCTATAACATTTATTCTTTATAAGCATTCAAGAATATCATATAAGCTGGGGAAAGCTATTCTATTTAAATAGGCACTTGGAAAGAGAGTGAGGGAGATAACATATACCTTCTTTATGTAACATTCAGAAGGGTTGAGAGCTTTTAAACCCTCTTTTTCAAGCCAGGTGCAGTGACTCACAACTGTAATCCCAGCACTTTGGAAGGCTGAGGTGGGTGGATAACCTGAGGTCAGGAGTTCAAGACCAGCCTGACCAACATGGTAAAACCCTGTCTCTACTAAAAATACAAAATTAGCTGGGCATGGTGGCACACAACTGTAATCCCAGCTACTCAGGAGACTGAGGCACAAGAATTGCTTGAACCCAGGAGGTGGAGGTTACAGTAAGCCGAGATCATGCCACTGCACTCTAGCCTGGGCAATAGAGCAAGATTCTGTCTCAAAAAAAATCATAATAAAAATAAAAAACAAATCCTCTTTATCTGAAAGGAAGCAAACTGTGTACATAATTATACAGATTTTCTTTGATTCATTCATTCACCAAACATTTACTGAAGTGCCAAACACTATTCTAAGCTACGGGGATGCTACAGGGAACAACAAAGCTAGAGGTCCCAGAACCCTCATGTGCATATTCTAGTAAGAGTAGCAGAGAATAAACAGGTCATAAGCTTTATGTGTCTTCTGGTGTCTAAGGGCTGTGAAATAAAATATAGCTGGGGATAGGAAGTAGGCAATTGAGGAAGGGCTTCCCTGAAGAATTTTTTTTTTGATAAAAGAGGAAAAGGCACTTCAGGCCAAGCGCTGTGGCTCACGCCTGTAATCCCAACACTTTGAGAGTCTGAGGTGGGAGGATTGCTTGAGGCCCAGAGTTGAAGACCAGCCTGGACAACACAGTAAGACCTCCATCTCCACAAATAATTTAAAAACTAGCTGAGCATAGTGGTGTATGCCTGTAGTCCTAGCAATTCAGGAGGTTGAGCTGAGAGGATCGCTTAGGCCCAAGAGTTTGAGGTTTCAATGAGCCATGATTGTGCCACTGCATTCCAGCTGGATGAAAGAGGGAGACCCTCTCTCAAAAAAAAAAAAAAAGGCACCTTTATGCTAAAAACTCTCAATAAACTAGGTATCAGTGGAATTTATCTCAAGACAATAAGTTATTTATGACAAACCCACAGCCAATATCATACTAAATAGGCAAAAACTGGAAGCATTCCTTTTGAAAGTAGGCACAAGACAACGATGCCAACTCTCATCACTCCTATTCAGCATAGTATTAGAAGTTCTGGCCAGGGCAATCAGGGAAGAAAAAGAAAGATAGTGTATTCAACTAGG